GTCAGTGTGAACGAGGTGTTGCATTACTGCGCTGTGATTGACCTCCTGAAACGTCCCATAATCCCCAGAAGTCAAGTGGCCACTCTTCTCATTGTTTTGGAATCAGCTGCAGAAATGCGGATATGCCCTTTCAAAGCTCCGTTTCTGACAGCTGGCTGCTTATATGCTCCGGGACAAAGCAACCATTACTGTGGAATGCTGCTTGCTGTGAGTGTGTGTGAGAGAGAAGCAGGGGGAGGGGGTCTGCTGCTATCTGAACTTACAAGACAGCGTGCTGACATGCTCTCAGCCCCCCCAAAACCCACTGTTTCTCAGTCCACATACATACAACACACTCCCTGTCACACTCCACCCCCCCCATTTGAAAAGCACTTTGCAGCCACTTGCATGCTGGGATAGCTACCACAATGCACTGCTCTTTGTGGTGTTGCAAGAGCTGCTAATGTGGCCATGCCAGTGCATTTGCAGCTGACAGTGTAAACACAGGGCAGCATTTTCCCTGCTGCGGTCTCCGAAGGCTGGTTTAACTCCCAGCGCTCTACATCTGCAAGTGTAGCCATGCCCTTAGTGTCTCTCTGCCTCAGTTTCCCATCTGTATAATGTGGATAATAAGACCTCCCTACCTCACAGGAGTTTTGTGAGGTTAAATACATTATAGACTGTGAGTACCTTAGATAGATGCCTGCCCCAGTCGCATCAAGTTTGTTGCTGGAGATGGCTGGATCAGGGATAAGTACTTTTTAAGCAGTCTATTCTAAACTTCTCTGTCTTGCTACCTAGGATTTTGGGGAGCTCACACAATAGGTGGATCAGTCACTCGCACTGGTCCCTGATGCAGGAAAAAAATATGAGCCAACTACCACCCAGTAGCCAAACATATTAGCTAGGACCTGATACAATAGCTTGTTGGGGAAGGTCCAGCAAGGTCCAGGGAGAGTTCCCTGGTGAAGTTTCCTGCACTACTTCTCAGCCTGTCTGCTGGGAATGGAGCAGAGGGGAAGTCACTGGGTATCGCACTACAGTGATGTTCCTGAAGACTGCTTGTGGGTGTGCTTTATCTTTTGCACTGACCCTAGTGTGTTAATGTCTAGTATATTTGGAGTTCCCCCACCAGTTTCTTGGCTTGTGGGATAACGTTGTGTCCTCTCCTCCCTCTCTGCAGCCTTGTCTACAGTCTCCTCCTCTCTGAAGGAGAGTTTAGAAATATAAAGAAGAGAAGGAAAGGACTTCTCAGGTCTAGGCATCTCCTGCCACTGCAGGATTGTTCCCTCCAGCAAATGTGCAGTGCTAGTGCATTGCCCTGTATACTTTGAAATGCCTATTGTAATGGGCCTTCCATCATTCCCCTTGGGAGATTATTCCACTGTCTAGTAAATCTCACCAGGATATTCACTACGCACTTTCCCCTTCTTAATTTCATTCCATGTACTGCTAATTATCGTACCACCTAGCACCACTCTGCCTGCCAGTCCTCAGTGGTTACAGCCTTCCCTCATTTCTAAGCTTGTATACAGTTGGATGTAATCTATTCATTAGTGCAGACACTAATGATAGTGTCTGCACACAAATATATCGTGATTAGTCTAATCATAATGTCACTCCACCTCTGTCTCCCCTCAGCCTATCCTACTTTCACACACTTTCCCCCACTGCTAAAGTTGAGTCTGCCATTGCTGCCAGTATTTTAGGTGAGGGGCACCAGTATAAATCCCTAAGATAGAATCCTATGGGCAGCAGAGGCAGGTGCTCAGTCTAATACGTCTAGTGAAGAGGAGTCTCTTCCTCCATCTCTTCTTTCCCTCCCTCATATGATCTTCTTGCAGAGTGCCTCCAGCTGTGAAGGACTGAGTCCCTACTGTACACAGCCTCCCAAGCAGCTGTAGAGTCAGAAAAGAGTCTGGCTCTGGCTCATATCATTGCTGCTCAGGAGGCTGTGAGAGCAATGGAACTGACCAGACAGGCTGCTGCTGCACTTGCCAGAGAATGTATGTTATTCCTTACTGATGAGTGGGCAAGTGTTTTCTTTCTTCTCCAAGCCTTGCTGTTATGGGCTAAACAGAAGATTCTGCATGCACTATAGGGCAGGACTGATGAAGTTCTGAGCACTCAAGGAAGTCTAACACAATTTACAGGCTGAGTGGCTCAACCCTGAAGATCCCGTGCTCAATTTTCTCAGCATTTGGTCTTGTTGACAGTTGTCTCCTGCCTGGTAGGGGTATCTTCCTGCTCCCAGGCAGTGGGATGTCTTGATACTTGTAGCAAGTTCTCCTCATGCTACCTATTGGAAGGTATGTTCCAGGGTGAGCAGCAGCAGCAATTTAACAATGACTAGGCTTCTCCTACGGCCTTGTATTCAGGGATCAAAGTGCCCACTGTCTTTTTGGCTATCTTTGTGTGGGAGATGATCAAACACACTAGCAACCGGGCTCATCCAGGCCTTCTGGAACCTGGCAATTGCAGACTCTTGCAGGTGAGTGCTGAGGAGGGCTGGATGAAGGCAAAATCCATTGACTGGCTGATGCAGGCCAGGGGCTTGGAGGGGGACTCATTGACTCCCAAAGTTTGGATTCAAGGACCTCCAATAGGAGGTTCAAAGAACCTCCAATACATAAAGTGTTGGGGTTCTTCATGGAGACTGGAGAACAGGGAGTAGCATTGGCAGAGATCCCGGAGTGACAGGAGCACTTTGATTTGTTGTAGAGGGTAGTTTGATTGAACTGGGTATGGGCCCCATTACGCATAACACACCAGGAGTGCTGAGTTCCACTTGGGACTTTCCAAATGAATTCTGGCTGAGGTCCCTGGTTCCCTGCGAAGGAGTAGGAATCCATGGGTTTGTTTGGGGTTGCTAGTCTCCTGATTCTTCACAGGGCCGGGAAGCCTGCATTACTAGCTCTTTATAATCTTTCACTCCTCACTCTGTTTCTGCAGCTTACACCAGAAGGAGTTTGGCACCTGTTCCTTATGGCTCGCGGCAGCCACATCTGCCTCACAAGCTGGGCTTCCTGAGACAGGCAATCAGGGAAACTGGGAGATGACAGTCTTTCTGTTTCAAGTACTAAGTAAGGGCCTGATCATAAGCATGCCCCTTCCAAGGAACAGCTTGTAGCTTCGGACCCTGAAGGAGCAAGGAGCTGGTCCCTCCAATTACATCATTAACCTGTTTTTCTTGGCTACTGTAGTTCTGCTTTCTCGGCAGCCTCCTCTTGCTTCAAGGTCAGATGAAGTGTGCATCTGTGCCTACAGCATTATAGAGCTGA